GAAATTGTAAAACGACTGAGAATCTGAGAAAAGCGCAGCACAAGATGATAGAGCAAGCTAATAAGCATCGCCACCCATCACAGTTCCAAGTAGGAGATTTAGTCTGGGTCAAGCCTAAGGAGCTCACCCCAAAAGCAAACATCTCACAAATGTTGTTACCCACGTACAGGGGACCGTGGCCTGTCCTAGAAGTAAAAGGCGGAGAAGACGGACCATCCTACACGATTGAGATACCACCACACCTCCACACCTACCCCGTCTTCCACCCATCAAAGTTGTTGCCTTGCGTCACCAGTCGGCAGTTCCCATCGCGTCGGTCAATGATTCCGCCGGACACGGATGGCGCATATGACATAGATCGCATTGTGGAAGAGGATGTGTTCAGAACTGGAGGTAGGGGTCGTCCCCAGAAACAGTACAAAGTCAGGTTCGATTATCAGGAACCCGTGGACGAACGCTGGTTCACAAGAACAGAGCTTCTAGACACCGCTCCCGACATAGTGCACGCCCACGACAGAGAAAGGGAAGGTAAAAGTCCTGCCTTGCATTGAAGTATTCTTGGAGGACCTCGAATTTAGGCCGGCGAAAGTGAAATGGTTTTCACCTTTACGGTACCAGATGCAGTTCGCAGGGCTCGATCCCTAGATCTCGCCCTCACCCGTGTACAGTATTAGTTGACCCGTGTGAGCTAACCTGCGACCTGTGTCTTGAAAGTCGTCTGTTTGCTTGCTGTAGGTAGTGTGGTCGCCGGGTCTCGAACGGTAGGTTTGTAGATTAGAAGTCTCAGCAGTGGTAGAGGTCGTAGCTGCTCCAGTACCGAAAGGTCAACGTAGTCAGTAGCTGCTACAGTACCGAAGGGTCACGCAGGCTAGACTAGGTCCTTCTAGAATAGTCTACTCTGCGCCTTCGTGAGTCTTAGCTATCAGTCTGTAGGCAAGTGGGCAAGTGGGCAGCCTAACCCAGCCCAGTCAGCGGTACCCGGTCCCGGTCGCACCTTGTCAAGTCAGCAAGTACCACGTGGGACTGAGTGCACCCCGGGCCCAGGGCCCAAAGGCAGACCTTTGACAATCCGAAGTATAAATAAAGATGCAGCGTCAAGCCATGGATGGATTCTGTCTGTGAGCAGTGCGGAAGCGCTGCCTGAGAGTCTTGTGCAAGGAGGTCTGCAGGTGCCCGTAGGAGAAGTGGGCTGAGAGGAAGAAGACGTGGTCATAGCCGCTGGTGTTGTTAGTGTAGGAGAAAGCAGCCATAGCTTAGTGATAGGCTGTTATTGTGTGTGTGTGTGTGTAGAGTGAGCTTGTGTGTGTGTGAGTGCGGAACATCCAGGGAGATCCAGGGTGCGTGTATGAACAAGTTGCTGGGAGTGCAGCGTTCGGTCATTGCCGAACAAGACAAGATTGAATCTGAACTGTGTCCGTGGCCTCGTTATCTCTGAGCTTAGTGTGGGCGCATGTTGCCAGCTTGATCGTCATCTGTTTGTACGCATGCTGAATGTCGAAGTCGACAAGTGATTGCATGAATCTGTTTCTTTCTCTTACACACCTATCGGTTGCACTATACATTGTGCTCCCGGGCCCCACGGCGCTGAATAACTCTAGAAAAACAACAACATCCAGCCACCTCCGAGTGCCAAATTAGCCTGGCCAGAACCTGATGCTTGGCCTGGTAAAATCTCAAAGTTGTCTAGCAAAAATCCTCCATCGCCAAAATCCTATTAGTTCTATATGCGGAAACTTCCACGGGTTCTGCTTGAAGGCACCATATCATAGTGCAAGAAGCAAAGACAAATCAGATGTGATTCTCAATGTTGCCTTGCAAAACAGCTGTCTCAAGTTCCGAGGACTTAAGTTCCCGGACAAAGATAATGGCAGATGTGGGCCACAGTATACACCCTTCACCCCTTCTCCCCATCTGTCAACTACTCTTATGAAGCTTCCTCCCACACCACCTCCGCCCTCCACCCTGCAGTTGGCATTGGTCCAGAGATAACTCCACTGCACTGATACTTGCTCCCAACCTCTGCTAGACCCCTCAACAGCATACCCTCCCCTATGCCCCTGAACAGCACAGCAAGGGACTGTGTCCGCGTCTCTCTCTCTCTCTCTCTCTCTCTCTCTCTCTCTCTCTCTCTTATTTTACGACTCAAACCTCCGCGACTGTGCCGCGGCATGTTGTGTCTAAAAGGGCCTTAACGATTCAGACCCGTAAATGTGACCCCAACATAAAAGGGCCCTCTCGGCCAGAAATCAATTTCACGAGCAGCATCCCAAAAGACAAGTTCCCTGAGGCAAATGTTGCATCCAGTGTGAGATGAAAAGTCGTTTTGAATAGTCACAGTCAGGTCCTAGACGAACAGGTACTGGGCTTAAATTTTAAGACTGAGATAGGGTCATGTCTGTTCGGCAATAAGTCAAAGGTCACAGTCCCGGACCAGTCACAGGCCCACGAGTCAATTCTGAGGAGTCCAAAAGACAGGCCCGACGGCCAAAGCAGCAGCAGACCATGGGAAAGGGTACTGGGACACACACTTTGCAACAACAGGTATTGGGCAGGAGTCCCAGGCACTTGGAGGCCAAAAACAGACCTCGCCAGACCAGTCCAGCACTATAAAGGACTGGCCAGCCTCCCCATTCGGCAGATACTCATTCACATGAGAGTGTGGAAGTGCTGAAGGCACTTGTGCGCCCAATGTGATTCAGCAGTGTTAGACTTGAGAGCTACGCTGAAGGAAGAGAGAGTTGGGCGCTGGCTGAGAGGAAGGCGGCCATAGCTGCGCCAGTGCTAGTTAGTGTTAGTAGTAGGAATAGTCAGTAGAGAGAGCCAGTGAGTAATATTCAGAGTAGACCCTCGTGAGATGGGGAGTGTGCATTCATGGTGAGTGTGTATAGAGCAGGACTATGGACAGAAGGAGAGAAGAGAGAGACCAGGAGAGAAGAGAGAGAAGTGAACTATGGTGTGACTTACTTGTGGAGCGCTGCTGTGCCAGGCCTTGTTGGATGAAGAAGATTTGTAATTCCGTTTGGCGCTATACAATTTGAACTCATGATTCTCTTTCTTAATCTGGTTATGATAATTGAGTTACACTTCCTGGTTCCCACTCATCCTCAATTGGACTTCGTGTGAGTCATTGCAATCTGTGTGATCTGTGTTACATGCATGCTATCTGGTACACTTCAGCAAGTGACGAAAGGACAGATTCCTTGCACGTCAAAATGTCATGCAGGAAAAACGACCCGGGCTAAGCGATTTCCGGATTATCACAAAGAATCAACATGGACGCTCATAATTGAGGTAGTTGGGGATTGGTTCAAGTGAGACCATGCGCATAGTTTGCAGGCTGGAGGGCATGGGGGCGGCGGGTGGGCAGACAAACAGCACTAGGCAGAAGAATGAGGCGGCAACAACAAGTCAAGAAGTAGCACTAGGGCAGCGAAGCAACAGCACAGAACGTAGGCTGGAGGGCATGGGGGAGGCAGGTGCGCAGACAAACAACACTCAGCAAGAAAAGAACGGACAGGAAGCCAAGAAACAGCCCGGCAACAAGACACCAAGGCAGACAAAAGAACAAGCAGCAAAAAAACACAAAGCAAAAAAAACCAAAACATGATAGATTGTTTCGCAGGAGTTGCACCGACTCATCAGGAGGCTGCACCCTCGACAATCTGTGGAATCTCCGTATTTGATGATTTGGGTCATGAACCCTTTGACCCTTGTTGAAGACAGACTGTCCCCAAGCGGAACATAGCAGCGGGCAGCAACCCTGTGGAGCACCAGGCAACACAGTAGAGGCCACACGGCTGCACAACGCCAAAAACGACTGCAAGGAATGGCATGGCACGCAGGGCATGTAGCGCGGCAACCGTGTAGTGAAGCACAAGACAACACAAGCAAGGCAACAACACTGCAGGGGACGACAGGGCGAGTGGACCAGCAGCTTGGCAACCGTGGAGCGGAGCACAAGGCACCAGCAAAAAGGCAACCAACCTACAGGGCACACAAGCGGCAAACACGGAAGGCACGGCCAGCGGATGAGCAGCACGGCAGCGGAGCAGTGAAGCGCAAGGCAACACCAACAACATGGCCACGCTGCACAGCGAACACATCAACCTGCAAAGAACCCCATGTGAAGCCAGCGGGACGGGCAGCAGGGCAGCGGCGGAGCGCAGACGAGGACGTCCACACATCCAACATGGAGCAAAGCAGCACATGACCTACTCACATCACGATTGAACCCCGCAGACTGTTGGTTCCCACCACCCACTGAGCCAGGTAGTAACTCCGACGAGCATCCGTCATCACGCACAGGCAACACAGACATCCTGAACCGAGCTGCAGTAGGCACTCCAAACGAGGAACCACCGACTGTTTGGCACTACTTAAGGGTGCTCAGTTGGGCACACAAGAAAAATACTTTTAAAAAATCAGGGGAAGGAAAGACAACAGAAGAAAAACTGACAGACATAAAACTGATTGTGTGTGTGTGTGTTAAAGATTTTCACCATAACAGCCCCTGTTCCACACAGATGAGTGGATCCAAAATCGAAGCAACTTTACCTCTATTGCAGGCAATGAAGCACACTTGAGATGTGAGCCAGTCCAACAATGAAACAGTTTTACCTCTATACAGTCTATAGCAAGCAACACGGAGCACAACATCCATTATATCCCTTTCTTAAACCGCTAGTACACGGCCCCAGCCTTGCAGAAAGTTTTTGTCACCACAAACAAAACTCGGAGGCGCCGCGGGGCCAGGCCCGCCGTTAAAAAAAAAAGTTGGTGGCCTCCGGAGTGGAGCGAGTTTCATGCTGACACCCACGGGTCGATATGTGGTGTACTGGTGCTTTAAGTATCTTAACTTTAGTTCTCTTTGGGGTACCCCTTTATTTGTTCTTGCAGCTCCCCTTTTGCGTACAAGGCTGGCCACATTGATTGTGGTTTTGTTCCCCAAAGGATGAGATATGATGACAACAAGAAAACCCTGATGTTAATCATGTACACACCTGCCGCGCCCATGAAATTTCATCGTCATGACAAAGAGACCTTTCGGTTTCAGGAATGGAAGCAACTTAAGTGCCATCTGTTGGGCAATCTGAACAGGATGCTTGTTGACGTCACAAACGAGGGCATCAAAAGGTTGATCGCCAAGCCTCGCAGCAATCTCCTCGACTGCATCTTCCGCCTACCATGCCGGCCACAGGAACACCACCAACATATAGCTTAGTTATTCAAAAAAAAATAAAAAAATAATAAATAAATAAAAATCTACTGTCATACCAGTGAGATTAGCAATGAACCCCAGCAGCAGCAGTGGCAACAGGAGCTCTTTTTCTTTTCTTTTCTTTTTTTAACTCAGGTTACTCAGCTATATTCTTCTCTCAATTTTATCTTTCAATATCGACCTACTACTACTCCTAAGCCTACACAGGGGACCCCTGCAAGCATAGCTACCTCTCACAATTAAGGGGATGCATGTTGCGCTTCCCTCCCCACCCCCCCCGCCCCCCCTTTCTTGGAGGTGTTCAGGGAGTAGGGTGGAGCCGCCGGAGGGGGGAACCGTCTAAGACACAGACCGAGCATTTTGCCAGCAATATTTTTTTTGCGGACTCCGTGTGCCACTATGCAATAACAGGAGTGGCACCGCATCTCGCAGTTCGGCAACAACGACAGCCTAAGTGAGCCCACTCCACCCCTGCCAAGAACATATGGGAATGCCACTGTGTACTCATCTCCAGTAGAGAGAGAGGGAGGTGGGGCCTCTCTCCATGACTCCACAGTTTTCCTTTTTTTTTTTCCCCCACGACTTCTCATCGGTCTAAAGAATCTAAACTTCTGAAGACAAATTTTCTGCCCTTATTACTACCAGCCATGGTTGCATCCCTGCCGACCGCCGACCCCGACCGCCGACCGTATTGCAGCCGACCAGTAGGGCCGACCGGTTTTCAGATCTGAGTTGGAAGCTGTACTGCGCTTGCTGAGTACAGCCCAAATCCGCTGAGAAACTTTTGGGGATGGGGGGTTTGGGG